TTGTTGTTATAGCTAAATAGGCTAATGCATCGTCAATGGTAAACTTCAGGGGTTATGTACAGGGGGGGTTANCATTTAAGAATTGACTAAAGTTTACATTTCCATATTTAGATGGACCATCTCCATATTTTAGAATGCGTTTTTCACAAAGTTAGTGCTAACCCACCCCCCTTACTAGTACTGTGCATGTGAATGCTATACATGTGACTTAAAGAGAGAAGTCCACTTGATGCTGGGTTTGCTGTTTTGTAGTTCAGTATACATCAATGCCAGTTGTTTTGTTGTTATTGTTGTTAAACTTTATTATAGAAATTTAACTGTTGTCCTGCCTGGAAGCAGAGAACCTGACAGCCTTTCCAAAGTTCCTGAAAAGGAAGACAGAACGGAGAATCACTGTAGAGACAGTTACTGTGACTGCAGACGGCCACAGAGCATCGGAAAGTTTAACCTGTGCTCCGAATGGTTTCACTACAGATGTACTAGCATTGGACTCTCGGCCAAAGAAGCAAGGAGCATGCCATTGGAAGACTGAGAGTGTCCAAAATGTAGGCCCCCATCGTCAAAACGGCCGAGACTGTACAGCACACTAGTACTGTGCACGTGAATGCTATTCATATACGCGATTAAATTAGATCGCTCTTCTGTTACTTTTCCTGTTACTGTTGAGAAGATTCTATGGAAATAAAATTTGAATACATGTAATTCAATTTGGTGTGTTGTATTGCCTCAATAACCTAAGGAACGTACCCTTGCAGTCAAAAGAACATGAAAGGTAAACAAAAATGGATTTGTGCATTATATACAACTAGAGTTCCACGATCTCATACCTTCGCCAACTGATGTTCACCTTAATTTATATTAGATTATGCATATGAGGTCTTAATTTGAATAAATTATGTTTAATGATATTCAGCTTTGCTCACCCTCCAAACGCCACAAACATCAAATTCCTGGCAGTTAAAAACAATGAAATTATAGCTTTTTCTTATGAATTATGCAAATTAGCCCCCAATTTACATAATATTATATGGCCATGTTCCTCTCCTGTCCAATTACACATGTCACAAGTCTGAATAGTCCTATCATGGCATGCAACAGATTTATAGAATATCCTCATTAACAATGCAAATTATATCCTTATTTGCATAATTGTCATCTCATTATGTCAAGCATCATCTAGGCTGCCTACATACCAAAAATCACAATGATTCCTCAACTGGTTCTTGAGTTATCCTCCTTTAAACATTTGAACTTAAAGTCCCCTGCAGTTCCCAAACAAGCTGCTAGGGGGTCCAAACTTACGTCACTTATTCCCCAGGGCAAGAGCTATCTATCATGCAAAATTCATGACCCTAGCATGTTCAGATCACGAGATATCAAAACCGGAAGTTCTGCTGCAGTACCATAACAAGCCGCTAAGGGGCCCAAAATCTAATCATTTCGAGGTCTCATCAAGACCAACCCACCTACCAAGTATCAAGACAATATATTCAAGCGTTCTTGAGTTATGGTGGTAACAGGCAGACAAACAGACAGACAGACAGACAAACAGACACACCGCCAACGAAAACATAACCTTCTTGGCGAAGGTAATTACTGAATATTGGTATTGTCATACTAGAGGATAGTGTTTGTTAATAGGTAGCATCTGATATAGTAACCACTGTGAATTACGAAGGCCGTAACAGAACACATACGGGGTGAACAAATCGATTGAGGGGGTGCAAAATTGCTAGCGATTTTGCACCCCCGGGGGGTGCAAGATCACCAAAGGGGTGCGAGATCACTAGTGATATCGTTCCGGGGGGTGCGAGATCACTAGTGATTTCGCTCCGGGGGGTGCGAAAATCACTGGGGGGTGCGAGATCTCTGTCACACCGGCTCTTGGCTGCCGAAGGAAAACGGCTAACGGTCCGATACTAGTTTGGCACTTGGCACCCAGGGTACTCGGACAAATTCTCCTGGGCTCAACTCCTCGATCCGTGGCGGTAATTTAGATAGGCGGGCGAAGGGCTCTTGGCTGCCGAAGAAAAACGGCTAACGGCCCGATACTAATTTGGCACTTGGCACCAAGGGTACTAGCTAGTATTCGCACCCAAGCGTGGCCTGTCCGTATGCTAAAAATACGATATGTTGTTTTAGTACCGGCTGGCCTCAATACGAGGAAAACGTTACACGAAGACCAACACAATATAGACTACTAAATCTTTGTAATTTTTTTTTTTTCGAGAGGTTTTTGAGTCACCCTATCGTTATACCGGATATACCGGCGTGCCAGTACGTACTAGTGATGCAATCCACATGCCCAGGGCATGAGATGCCCCCATTCTAGCCTCTACCAGACTTGGGGAGGCGGCTGGAAAGAGATTTTCTTCGGCCAAAATAGAGAGATAAGCATGCCAAGGGAGTTTTCCGTTGAGAGAATATTTCGCCGCTCACCAAGCCTCAGGTAGAGGCTAACCCCCATTCCACATTCTCGAGGGTCTGCATGCCCTTTTTCGTTAACCGTTATGGGCTAGTTTAATTTACCGTTAATCGTTACCGGCCTGCTCTAATTCAACGTTAAGCGTTATCAGTATATTCCTCGTGAAGCGTTATTGGTCGTTTTAATTCTACGAAAAACGTCATTTGTCATCCTAGATTCAGCGTTAAGCGTTAATGAATAATTCTCTCTGCGACCTGAAATATTGGCCAGAGCGCGGAGAGAGTGGCGAACTCAAAAAAAAAAAACGTGCTCAACGCCTCAAGTGCTCAAAATCAACAACATCTATCAAGAGTATAATACACAAGTAGTTCCAATTGTTAATGGCCGGGACAGGACACACCTTTTTTGTGCTTTGTTGTCTTTAATCGCTTATATAATACTTTTCGTTCCGTAAGACTGCCCGGCCGGGCCCCGGTTTGGAAATGTGACCTCAGCATAAGTGGAATGGGAGTATAACTGCTTGTCTCGAATAAACAGTCCGAGCTGAGTAAACATGAACTTAATTGACGGTGCTAGCTCGCTTTTTTTTTTTCTTTTTTTTTAACGGTGTCGCTCAATGCAAGGCCACTTCTAGGCATAGAGTACATGTATAATATAGCTATGTCATGAGATGGCGGTGGACCTTTGTTTTGAAGCTTTGTAGATTGTAATCGGACGGAAAAGCAGCTGTTTGGAAGAGAGTTCCATAATTTTGCAGTCCGGGGAAAGAAGCTGTTGTTGTAGTATGACTTGGAGACAGGTATGTTAACGGTGTATTGATGAGAACTGGAAGAGAACCTAGTGGCACGCTGAAAGGTTCTGAGCGGCGGAACAAGAAGTACAAGTTCTCCTGAACATCGACCGTGAAAGTATCTGTAGAAGTCTTCAGCTTATGTACTAGCTGAAGTTTCCCTGACGGAAAAAAAACTCCAGTTAAACCTTGTTTTCCCCATTTTCTTACATTTCCTTCAGTCAAGATCTACTTCTTTTATTTTTTTCTATCAGCTGTTTAATTCTTGGCTCGAATAATAGAATGTATTTGTACTATGACTGAAAGTGTTTTTCCCTGAATGAAAATTGAAAGGCACCGTCGGGTGTCAGAACAGAAAGGGAAACACAAAATAGGCGCTAATTATCTTATTTCTCACCTTCTGTTTATTATTTTCTTTTCTTCTTTTTACATACGAATATGGGGGAAGCATTGGAGACTTTTTTGTTTGACCCAACAATGGGATGTGTATTTTGGAAAAAGTGCAGTGTTAAGAATGTAAAAAAAACTAACTAGAAAGGTAACGTTTGCAAAGCAAATGCATAATGTTTACCTTCGCATATGCCCTGCTCTGTTATAACTCAAACACATTCATATAGATGTATATGTATATGGTGACAGGAGTCTAAATCCCTCCTGCTATAAAATTGCAACATGAGGTTCAGGTCATTGACCTGATTGGTTTGGAGAAGAGGAAACCGAACAAACCTTCAGTAAACATAACTAAATCTGTATGTTATAGTATGAAGTTCGTGTTTTCTTCCACAGGCATATGAAGACCATATATCAACGACACAGGAAGACTTCTCGTAGCAAACTTCTCCTACAAGGCTACCATGGTTGTTAGGCGTGGCCGCACATGGAGACGGCGACGACGTAGAAAAGACGAAAACAGACCAGGTAAGTACATTTGCGCTATGTCAAGTCAGATATAGCTGGTTTTGTCTGTTTTCGTTTCATAAAACACTAGTGCTGTTGTCAATTTTGTTCTCTCCTTGTAGCCTCTACCAGGCTTCGGAAGGCGACTGGAAAGAGCAGAAATTGGATAAATGCCGGGGGAGTTGGTCCGCTAGAGAGTACAGTTTTCGGGTGCGACAAACTGTACTCCCTAGTGGACCAACTCCTCTGGCATGTTATCTTTATGGCCAATTTCTACTCTTTCCAGCCGCCTCCCGAAGCCTGGTAGAGGCTACTCTCCTTGCACATGCGATAAATGAACAAGTGCCCGTGTTTATTTTGTTGTACTAATGCCTGTAAACAATACTTTTTCTCTGTTTTTTAGTGTCTATTGCACACGAGGAGTCTTTCGTTCGCTTCTTCCAGTGGCTACACAGAAATGGCTGCAGAAATGTGCCGCTGAAACCCGCCGTCTTTCCCGGTATGCTGGTCAAGCGTTTGTCTTTTATACAGTACTTTAGTATTCTGTGAACATTCTTATCTACGCCTTTTAAAATTCGTATTCTTATTAAAAATTTGAGTTGCATATCTCTTCTTTTTTAAGTAAGGCAATGTTGATTTGATAATATGGATGACATCCGCGCGCGAATGAATTTTCGGCCGTTTCCAAAAAAAAAGTTTTCAACCATACTGTAAATCCTACAAAACAGTTGCAAAAAGAGCAAATATATACCGTAAGTTGCAAAAAAAAGTTATTGGGAAACGATACCAATGTCGTAGAATATCAAAATCAAACGAAAAAGACGAAAATGTAAAGAAATGAATTTGAGGACTAGATTATTCGCTAGTATACCATACTCTGTGTCATTTGTTCAACCTTCAAAACCACGTAGATTTCATAATGAAAGCAACTTTTTGGGCCAAACTTTTTTTTATTCGCACACTCACATCAGTTTTGGGGTTCCCAGAGGATGCCATCCATATAATCAAATCAACATGGTTTAAAAGACATTTCGCTTTATTGTTTATTGCTTGATAGTTCTCAGTTCTAATATGTTTGCATTTTTTATTCCAATCTTTTACTTACCCCTCCTTGCCTGCCCTGTGTGTGTTTGTGTGTGTTTTCTGTTCAGACACTGGTCGGGGAATGATGGCGACAAAAGCTTTAAAGGTACTGGTATCCGAACCTTGATGTCAATCAATCAATCAATCATGTCACCATTCAACATCTTATAACCTAATGACATAGGATGTAAATTACCTTCGCATATGGTCTGCTTTTTTAATTCTTACTCAAAACACATTCATGTATACTTAGTACGTGACAGGAGTCTAAATCCCTCCTGCTAGAAAATTGAAACATGATGTAACCCAACACTAGTTACCATGGTGACAGACGTCTGGTTCAGGTCATTGACCTTATTTTTTTTGGAGAAGAAGAAGAGGAAACAGAGCAAAAACAATATGTTTTCCTTCGGTAAACATAATGAGTTTTGACCTAGAACGAAAAATCAAACTGCTAGAAGCTGTCCTGTTTCCCAGAGGACAGGACAAATGTTCAAAAGATATAATTATAGCCTATGGAACTACTAACTACTAGACTATAGTCTTTAATACAGAGGTATATGAAAATAATCTCATAGGCAATGTTAAATACTACTAGCATTATATACGAGAAATTACCGGCCACAGAAACGAAATGTTTTAAGACTTCTTAGGAAGAAAGTATACTTTCTTATAAAAATCGTTTCTACTACAGCGCAGTTACTTTTTTTTTTCATTTCTTTACCAGCACGGAGAACTTATTCTGGCGATCCCAAAGAGACTTCTCATTACTATTGAGGCCATCATGGACTCCTATCTCGCACCTTATATTGAACGGTAAGCTAGTCTCCCAGCAGTTTTTTTTTAAAGGGGGGTACAAGTAGTACTAGAAAGGTGACATTTGCAAAGCAAATGCATAATGTTTACCTTCGCATATGGTATGCTCTGTTAATTCTGACTCACGCACATTCATATATACATTTATGGTCAGACAGAAGTCTAAATCTCTCCTGCTATAAAATTGCAACATGATATGCATATACTAGTAACCCAACACTAGTTACCATGGTCACAGACGTGTGGTTCAGGTCATTGACCTTATTTGTTTGGAGAAGAGGAAGAGCAAAAACAATGTTTTCAATCGGTTAACATAAAAAGTACACGTCCAAAGAAATTATGTTAGAAGGAATACATTAGTATTATACAGTGTCATAACAGAAATTCCAACATTATTTGACCTAGATTTACTTATTTTCCAGGGCTGATCCTCGGCTAACCCCCACACAGGCCCTCGCAGTTTTCCTCATCTGCGAAAAACACAGGCGGGAAAAATCCTACTGGCGACCTTACATCGACATCCTACCCGACGAGTACTCGTGCCCAGCGTACTTCACCGAAGACGACTTCCGACTTTTGCCGAACTCCCTCCGAGGAAGGGCGAAGGCGAAGAAGTACGAGTGTCACAAAGTGTACAAAGAGCTCACGCCGTTCTTCGAGTCACTTGCAGATCTGTTTTCTGACCGAGAGGACGTTTTCAACTTCCAAAATTTCAAGTAAGTAATGTAAATCCTGATTATGTTTACCGAAGGAAAACATATTGTTTTTGTTCAGTTTCTTCCTCTTCTTCTTCTCCAAACAGTGACCTATGACCTGACCTATGACATGATTTGTTGATGTCTGTCACCACGGTGACTTGTGTTGGGTTACATAATGTTGCAATTTCATGGTCTGCTCTGCTCCTGTCACCATATTCTAGTAGTACATGTATGTGAATGTGTTTGAGTAAGAATTAACAGAGCAGACCATGTCCGAAAGTAAACATTATGCATTTTCTTTGCAAATGTTACTTCTCTAGTTCTTTGATATAATTTGTTGTCCAATGCCACTTTTACGAATGATATCGATAGGTTGATACAGACTTTTGGAGGAGGAACGAATAGACTGACCCCAAATGCCCATCACAATTAGAAGTTCAACCAATGAGGGAAGGGCAATTATCGGTTCGACCAATGAGAGAGTAGATGCATGTTTTACTGATTCTTTGATATAATTTGTTGTCTATTGCCACTTTTACGAATGATATCGATAGATTGATGCAGATTTTTGGAGAAGGAACAAATAGACCGATCCCGAATGTCCATCACAATTAGAAGTTCAACCAATGAGAGAAGGGCAATTATCGGTTCGACCAATGAGAGATTAGATGCATGTTTAACTGATCCTTTGATATAAATAGTTGTGTAATGCCACTTTTACGAATGATATCGATAGCTTGATGCAGATTGCAGAATGCCATCACAATTAGAAGTTCAGCCAATGAGAGAAGGACAATCGGTTCGACCAATGAGAATGTTTTGACGGAGGTGGGCGAGGCTTAACGATCGGTCAATTCTGTTTCTCCTTCAGGTGGGCGTGGTCAGCGATCAAGACGCGGGCTTTGGACGTGCCCATTGGACGGGAAACTGGCGCTCATCTCCGAGACACAGACACCCCCACCCCCACCATGTTTCCATTGGTAGACTCCATCAATCATTCAGCGCAAGCGAAGGTAAGGAACCAACCAAGAACTTCAATTTTTTTCTGCAGTTGAGGTGTTTTTTTGCTAAATAAAGTAAGAGAACAAGATAGAGAAAATTCTTTTTGTGGATTTCGAACGTTTAAACACATTCATATATGATCAGACAGGAGTCTAAATCCCTCCTGCTATAAAATTGCAACATGATGTAACCCAACACTAGTTACTATGGTGACAGACGTCTGGTTCAGGTCATTGACCTTATTGGTTTGGAAAAGAAGAACAGGAGGAGGAAACAGAGCAAAAACAGTATGTTTTCCTTCAGCAAACATAAAAATAACATATCATAAAAGTTCATCCGTGTTGGTAGTTACATGTTTAGAGTTAAAACTTTCGATCCAACACAACACTTTCGATCTCTCACCTAGAGCTTTTGACCAGTCACTCTGGTCTTCTTCAGTAGACTGACCCAGTGAGGCTTGTCACGTGGCTTCTTTGAAGTGTGACGTCAACACTGAGTCACAGGTATCCGATGTCGGCCCCCGTCGCAGTTCAGTGAAGGGTGATGGGAAGTTTTAACTATAAACATAAAAATAAAATGTAGAGGAGTAAACAAAGAAGGTGAATGAGATGATTTAGCTCAACGTGGTTCCATGTTTTAGATCCGACATCGCTACAACGACAAGAGCCAGTTCCTGGAGAGCCGTACGGAGTCGGTGTACAGGAGGCACGCCGAGGTCATGAACAGTTACGGGCGGGCAGACAACGACAACCTCCTGCTGGAGTTCGGCTTCGTCGTCCCCGGCAACCCCGCGGACACCGTCACGTTCAACCTGGGTAAGGCCATGTTGATTTGATTATATGGATGACATCCGCGCGCGCATGAATTTTCGGCCGTTTCAAAAAAAAAAGTTTTCAACCATACTGTAAATCGTACAAAACAGTTGCAAAATGAGCAAAAATATACCATAAGTTACAAAAAAAAATTAATAAAAACTATACCAATGTCGTAGAATGCCAAAATCAAACGAAAAAAGACGAAATTGTAAAGAAATGAACTTGAAGACTAGATTATTCGCCAAACCATATTCTGTGCCATTTGCTCAACCCTCATGACCACGTAGATTTCATAATGAAAATTAACTTTTTTTTTTTTGCAAACTTTTTTTTTATTCGCACGCGCATCAGTTTTGGGGTTCCCGGAGGATGTCATCCATATAATCAAATCAACATGGCCTAAAGTGTCGTCTGAAAATGACGTCATCAGCTGTCCTCACCAAATATGGCTTGGCACTGTTGTAGCCTTTATCAGGCTTCGGGAGGCGGCTGGGAAGAGTAGAAACCGGCCAAATAGAGAGATAACATGCCAGGGGAGTTTTTTTTTTTTTTTCTGCTGGAGAGAACAGTTTGCCGCTCCCGGGTGAGGCAAAATGTACCCTCCCAGCAGACAAACTTCCCCGGCATGTTATCTCTCTATTTGGTCGACTCCTACTTTTTCCAGCCGCCTCCCGAAGCCTGGTAGAGGCTAGCATTGTTGTTAATCAATGAGTGTGCTCACAGGTGTTTCAGAAGATCAGAAATTTGGACTAATTTCTCACCTTTTAAACCAGTTTTTAAACTTTTAACATTTCTTCATATAGTTTTGGACATAATCCAAGCAAGGTATTCTTGACATAATTACTCTAATTCCTTATATATACATTGAAAGCCAGTTAATTGCAAAACGCTTATAAGAAAAAAGTACTGTACTAGTAATATCCTAGGAGAAAAATATCGAAGACCTTCCGTAAATCGTATGGCATCTCTGTATTTTCATGTGCCTCGATAGCTCAGTTGGGAGAGCGTTAGACTGAAGTCCCGGAAGCCGATATACCGGCTTGACAAATTGGAGATCTAAAGGTCCCTGGTTCAATCCCGGGTCGAGGCAGTTTTTTTTCATGGACATTCAACCTCTTGTAAATTGTTTTTTCTTCTTTAATATTGTTCCTAGTGAATTCTTTCATCAGTGACAACTTTGGAAGGATAAGGATACTAACCTCCAAATTTTCGATGGCTATCAGTACATCTTGTTCACGGAGTGGCCTAATCTCGCTCCCAGCCTTCTGTCCGGTTTAGCTTGGCACCTTCCAACTGTATGTGCACCGCTTCCTTAAATGTGGGTTACGAGACTCTTGGTCTATGATTTCAATAATGTTGGAAGGTGCCAAGCTAAACCGGACAGAAGGTTGGGAAGTCCCCAAGACTTACTTACCCTTACTTCGGAGGGAGGCGGCGGGGGGTGGGACCCGACAGACCGATGCAAGTCTCGGGTCTAGTCTCGCGCTCTCGCGAGATTAGGCCACACCGTGAACAAGATGTACTGATAGCCATCGAAAATTTGGAGGTTAGTATCCTTATCCTTCCAAAGTTTTCACTGATGAAAGAATTCACTAGGAACTGTATCTATACGTGACAAATGAATCTCTTCTTTAATATTGTAGTTCAGGACGTTCTGGAGTATCTACAACCTGAAAACAACGCGATGTTGGAGAGGAAGATCATGTTTCTGGCGCGAAACAATCTCATCAGGTGAGTGACAGGACTGTTGGAGGTTTGTTTGTTTGTTTGTTTGTTTGTTTGTTTGTTTTGCCATGCATGTTCTGAGCACAATGTCCCTCCCACAAACTATATATGACATCACCAAGACTTACATTTTATTTACCATGGATAATATTTTCAGTTGAAAAAACAATTATTTTCAGGTAAGGCCATGTTGATTTGATTATATGGATGACATCCTCCGGGAGCCCCAAAACTGATGCGCGCGTGCGAATAAAAAAAAAGTTTTGACAAAAAAAAAAAGTTCTTTTCATTATGAAATCTACGTGGTCATGAGGGTGGAGCAAATGGCACAGAATATGGTTTGGCGAATAATCTAGTCTTCAAGTTCATTTCTTTACAATTTCATCTTTTTTCGTTTGATTTTGGCATTCTACGACATTGGTATAGTTTTTATTAATTTTTTTGTAACTTATGGTATATTTTTGCTCATTTTGCAACTGTTTTGTACGATTTACAGTATGGTTGAAAACTTTTTTTTTTTTGGAAACGGCCAAAAATTCATGCGCGCGCGGATGTCATCCATATAATCAAATCAACATGGCCTAAAGAACAATTAGAGTGAAACCGTTGACCACCCTCCCCTTGCCATAAACGTATCACCCCTACGTTTCTTCCTCAGCGACCTGACCTGTGGTGTTACTGGCGTGTCCCCACAAATGCTGACTGTGTTGATGGTGTTTCTGTGCAAACAGGACGACGAGTGAGTGTTCAACATCTTGCCAATATTGTCACTGCTAAAATATTATATATGTAATATTTATGCTTGCATTCCCCTTTCTGTTCAACATTTTAGATGCTTTTTGTCTTGACACAGATATTTTGTATAAACATCTATCCTATTGTATACGTCGCTATAAAGCGAGTGACAATCGATCGTTAACTTTTGACGACTGTCATGATTTTACGAAGAACATCGGTGGTCTAATAGCGCCTTCATGCGATTTTCTTCAAAACTGCATGATGATATCGACGGTACTTTCAGGGATGTCTGGGAGGATCTGAGAACAGGGCAGTTTGAAGCGGACGGAGCTCTGGACGTCCGTGCACGGAAAGTAGCTGGTCAACTTCTGTCTCTACGACTCCAGACATATCCTACTACCATACAGGTAAAATATTATTAAGTCCGCAAACCGTTCCTTTATATGTTTTCTGAAGGAAAACAACTTCAGAAAACATTTTTTTGCTCTCTTTCCTCTTCTTCTTCTCTAAACAAATAAGGTCAATGACCTGAACCAGACGTCTGTAACCATGGTAACTACTGTTGGGTTACATCATGTTGCAATTTTATAGCAGGAGGGATTTAGACTCCTGTCTGACCATACATATGAATGTGTTTGAGTAAGAATTAACAGAACAGACCATTGCGAAGGTAAACATTATGCATTTGCTTTACAAATGTCACCTTTCTAGTTGTTACAAGTATTATGTGATGTAAATTATGACAAGCCTGTGTACCATATGTTATTACGGTCTTTTCATTGAAAATAATGTTTTTTCATCCCACAGGAAGACGAGGAAATGTTAAAGGAAGTGACGTCAGCATGTGGGCGCCTCGCGGTGTATTGTGGGATAGAGAGGAAGAAGCTGATAGAAAATGGTTTGAAAATGCTGCAGCACAGCTCCAAGGTCGCCATTGCCAAGGGCGTCCTCAGAAAACTCTTCTCTCGATAGGAACGTTAGCCGTCAGAATCGGTTTTAAGAATGGCAATATTAAAGCGATATTATGTAAGAATTTTGGACCAAAACTGTAAACATACATAATTGAAATTTTATCATCTAGATTTTCATTTTCAATAACGTTTAACATATTAGCATTGCTTTGTCGCTTTTCCAGCGACTCAGTGCAGCGCCAGAATAAGTTGCGCCAGGCCCGCTGTATTTTTAGGAGGCACCTAAAAAGAATGTAAACAAACAGCGCTTTTTGCTCGAGTATCTTCGGCAGCTTCAAACACGTTTTTGCGGCGCAATGAACTTGATCTTTTACTTCTCAAATGGCATTATGAACCCAGGTAGGCTTATAGCACAAGAAAATGTGTAAAACAACGATGTTTAAAATAGTGAAAATCTTGCATAATATCGCTTTAAACAAAACATCAGATGAGGAGCCTACTATGTAGTGTGCCTTTTTTGTTGATAGACTTGATCTTAACAAGGAGGTTATAGCAATAATGAAATGAAATGTTGCATAGTTATGTAACTAATTCTGAAATTTCAATAGCATTTTAATTGTCTGGTGCCATAAAAGTGTGCAATTAACTACCTCACGATTTTTATCATGGTTGTTTAATCACAATTACATCTATTATGAAACTTTCACAATGAAAGATTTTAGAAGTTTTGATAGAACTGTGTTCTACATTTTAGCAATAAAGATTTTACTCATATGAGCAGTCTAAATGGTTATCTAACTAATGCTGAAATTTCAATACTATAGCATTTTATTGTCTGGTGCCATATAAGTGTGCAATCAACTATTAATACCTCACGATTTTTATCATGGTTGTTTCATCGTATCTACATTGTATTATGAAACTTTCACATTGAAAGATTTTAGAAGTTTTGATAGAACTGTGTTCTACATTTTAGCAATAAAGATTTTACTCATATCATAATTCTGAAATTTCAATACTATAGCATATAATTGTCTGGTGCCATCAAATTGTGCAATCAACTACCTCACGATTTTTATCATGGTTGTTTAATCACAATTGCATCTATTATGAAACTTTCACATTGAAAGATTTTAGAAGTTTTGATAGAACTGTGTTCTACATTTTAGCAATAAAGTTTTTACTCATATGAGCAGTTTGGATGGTTATATAATTCTGGAATTTCAATAGCATTTAATTGTATGGTGCCATCAAAGTTTTCAATCAACTACCTCATGATTTTATCATGGTTATTTAACCAAAACTACATTTATCATGAAACTTTCACAATGAAAGATTTTTTGGCTTGAATTTAGAACTGTGTTCTACATTTTATCAATAAAGATTTTACTCAATGTGAGTCTGCTTTATTTTGCATCAGATGTTTTGTGGGTTTTGTGTTTCAGTGAGTTTTTTTTCAGTATTCAGGAATATTCTCAATCTGTCATAGAAGTATAGGAAAACATTGGTACATGTTCGACACAGATGACGTGCACGAGCGCTGCCTAGCGGCAGTGTACAGAATAACATGTCAATGCTGTGCCACCTCTCCGTGTCCTCATTTGAACGCTAGCCTCTGCCAGGCTTGGGGAGGCGGCTGGAAAGAGTAGAAATCGGCCAGATAGAGAGATAAGCATGGCAAGGGAGTTTGTCCGTTGAGAGAACATTTCGCGCGGCACCCCAATGTTCTCTCAACGGACAAACTCCCTTGCCATGCTTATCTCTCTATCTGGCCGATTTCTACTCTTTTCAGCCGCCTCCCCAAGCCTGGCAGAGGCTACTTAAACGCCACGTTTGACGAAATGTGTTGTTTTCTGTGTTATTGCATATCCACGGGTTTGTGCTTTGTGTGAGAGTGGGAGAACATAACGATTTCATGAATTCTAAAACCTTGCAAACACTAGCCTAGTTGACAGATTATAGCTCCAGAATCCTACATCCTCTCCGCTATAATAGTTTATATAATACTAGTAGGTCTGGCAGCCAGGCTAGGCTACACAAACACCTGCTCATTCTATCACTCCACTCCCTTGTCGTTCCGCCCCATAAAAATGCCCCCACCTCTTAATACACGGCACCAAGCAGGCGGAACTAAAACGGTATGGCCTGTTAATCCACATTCCTTTCACCTGTCTGTGCCAATCAAATCTGGTCGTAGTATTTAAGAATAGATTACCCACTACTTTACTTCTTCTGTATTCCGAGGATAATTCAAGCAGATGTTCGGATGAAAATCAGCTTGTTTGTATGTGTGCGTGTGTGCGTTTGTGTTTGTGTCTGTACATTATGTATACGCTTTTTATTAAAGGCCCCTGTCTCCTAGTCTCTACCAGACTACGTATACGCTGGCTATATAATATATAGGAGAATATTTGCCATTTGGCCGCCTTGTAGGTTTGACTGGCCGCGCAGTTCGGAGGGAAAGAAACTACCTCCCGCGGCCGAACTCTCTTGGCCCATTTTATTCTCATTTTTGCCGAATTCTACGATCAGTATTCCTATAGAAAGGTCTGGTGGAGGCTACCTGTCTCCTCTTGTTCTATCACAGTTCAGAAGGCGTTAAACTAAGATGATCCTAAAACAAAACAATCACTTCCTCAGCCCCCTACGTGTCCTCTTGATCTTAGACGATAAAACTGACAGCTAACAGAGCAGTGATCCACTCCATATGTCTACTATTTAGGCCACACCAATTTAATTTGTTGGTTCTCGGATTCGCCTCTGCATTTTTTTCTGATATGCAAAAAAAAAAAAGATTCTTCTTCTTAATGAACTAAAAAAAAATGCCCATATTTTTCCCCAACTGTTAAGGAAAGTCCGTTTCTTCCTAGTTGTTACAGTTTTCCCATCTATCAATTCAGTGGTTTGACCAGAAGATATGTCAAGTTTACTACGATACATACTTTTACTATTGTTCTCAAACGCTCTATACTGGTACTGTTGCAGTATGATCTTAGAATGATCCCTCTATTCCTTAGGCGTAAACTCTACCCCCTACCCTAGATCCCAGATCTACCGTGTTACCAAACAGATCCATCACGAGGGATTTTATCTGCCTGAGTGTGTTGACAATTCTGACGTGCCCACCTACCGTACCTTTGGGGAGGGGGGCGGGGTGGACCACCCAGTCATCACTCATAGCACTGACACCGGATCTTCAGGGGGCTGATTTAATCTGATGGATGAAGATAACTGTGGACAGGAAACAAGAGGATCCCTAAGGGGAAGCTATTATACACAGTACATTCTGTAACACACCAGCATCTGTATCCGTATAGCCGGTATAACCGCCCTTCGGCGTAACACACCATCTGTATAGCCGGTATAACCGCCCTTCGGCGTAACACACCAGCTTCTGTATCTGTATAGCCGGTATAACCACCCTTCGGCGTAACACATCAGCTTCTGTATCACTATAGCCGGTATACCGCCCTTCGGCGTAACATACCAGCTTCAGTATCTGTATAGCCGGTATAACCGCCCTTCGGCATAACACACCAGCTTCTGTATCGATCTGTATAGCCGGTATAACCGCCCTTCGGCATAACACACCAGCTTCGCAGACACGCGGCGCGGCGGCAGCTAGCTATGTCACACCGAACGACTTGTTACACTCAATTGTGGCACATTTAATGATTGCAGGAGTTGTTTAAAGCTTTCTAGTGATGATGCCCCAACTGTGCTTGGTGGCAACGAGTTCCACTTTATAATAGTTATTGGGAAATACGAGTTTTTGAACAACTCAATTTTTGGTTGATAACTCTGATATCGCATGGCATATCAGTTTATCATGTGCCTCGATAGCTCAGTTGGGAGAGCGTTAGACTGAAGTCCCGGAGGCCGATAGACCGGCTTGACAAATTGGAGATCTAAAGGTCCCTGGTTCAATCCCGGGTCGAGGCAGTTTTTTTTAATGAACATTTATTTCAATTTCTTGTAAATTATGTTGACTTACGTTGTGACCCGAACTACATTTGTAATGTTATCTACCATTGGCCGGTTCTCCCCCACATTTTTTGGGCCACTACTATACTTCTGCGAAATGTAAGACCGCAGCAGAACGTAATTCATTATGTGCGCTTGGTTTCTCTCACCTGTCACGCCAATCACAAATTACTACGTTTGGCGGTCACCGTTGGACCGAACCATTGGGGTATAAAAGGGGGTATAAGAAATCGAACTGTCTTGAAATATCTTAGGCCACAGCAAGTAAACTCTATGGATGACATCTTCCGCAGACTCCAAATCTAATGCGAGCGGGCGAAAAAAAACAAGGCGGGCCGAAAAAAAAAGAAGGTTCCTACGTTTTAAAACGTTGACTCAATTATTGTACAAATGGTTTTGATTCAGTGGGAACATCACACATAGAAAGCCAGCATCACATATCACTGCATCGAAGTAAGAAACAAAACAGAAAATCAGAGCCTTTTCTTGTCTCCTCTCTTCATATTTATCTGCCATCCACGTTCCAGCATGGCAACAGACATCTTTGCCCATTTTCGGCATGTTGACCACTGTCAGAGGGCAACTTTTTTTTCCCGAAATCAGGCGAAAATTAATGCGCGCGCTGATGTCATCCATAAAATTACTTGCTGTGGCCTAAGTTTGAAGTCCTAGCGACCTGAATTGCCTCTTGGTACCTAAACACGGTGTCACTGATCTCTCGCTTTTGGACACACCCAAAATAATTTTCTAAATTGCAGTGTACTCAAGCAAGAGCATTCAACCTGTCATGATGAACAATAGATGACGCGTATAGGAGTGTTTTCTATTGTAATACCGTGTTTTCTGAGTTTAGTTACGGATATGCCCCCCTCCCCACCGACAGGGCCTTGAAACCCCAATTCTTCAAGGCCAATATTCTAGTCATTTATCTACATACTGAGTTGAAACCACACTGTCCCAATGTATATCGACATTCATGGAGCAAAAATTCCCAACATTCTGACGGAAAATGGTTACTGGAAGGGCCTGGGCTGATTTGTAGGGTACCACCCAGAAAATAAAGGACTCACCTTGGGGCTTGTTTCTGCAGTTTCAAAGCCAATATTCTAGTCATTTATCTACATACTGAGTTGAAACCACCCTATCCCAGTGTATCTTGACCCTCATGGAGCACAAATGCCCAAAATTCTTACGGAAAATGGTTACAAAAAGGGACCTGAGCTGATTTTAGGGTACCACCCAGAAAATGAAGGACTCATCTTAGGGCTTGTTTCTGTAGTTTTAAATGCCCAAAGTATGAAATACTGATTCAAATGTGCCAATGTGAAGCAGTATGTGTCAATAATATCACAAAGATTGCCTTATTCAGGATATTTCCAGTTTTGCTGCCCTGAAATCGCATTGGAGGCATTTAAAATGGCGTCGAAAATCTAGAAGATTCCAGTCTCTTCAATAATGTGCTGATTTCATAACATAATTTTCAACATACTTTTCAAAACCTGTTTTTAAATTATGGCTGCAAACAATATACCTTGGCTCTTTGTTCTCAGTACTATTGTAAAAAATAAAGTTATTGGTATAAAATTTTGCTTGATAATATCGTTCAAACACAGGTGCGAAGTCGAGTGGTCGTAAACTAATTCAGGAGTAATAAAATGTTCGTTCTTATAATTTATTGCCCCTATTTAATATAGCCATGTTATGATGTCCTTTGAAAGTCTAATAGTAATATATCCTTAAATCTTTACCTAAGGCCACACCAATTTAATTTGTTGTTTCTCGGATCCCCCTGTCTTTTTTTCTGATTTGCAAAAATATATATTTTTGTTTAAAAAAAATTCTTTTGTTCTTTCATCCACTGCAAAATGCTCAATGAAAGACATATTTTGGCCCCAACGGTTGAGGAAAGTCCTTTTTTCCTAGTTCTTAAAGTTTTTCAATGTAAGAATGCAACTTTGTTTCATTAAAAGTTCAAAATATATTGTTTTAATTATAAACCAGCCTGGTATGTTCACTTCATGGCTCATATTGTAACATTTCCGACTATCATGGGGTGCCTTGGCCTTTTTTTTTTCGCCCTGTTGCTTCAAATTTTTTCTGAAAAAAATCAAAGGAACAGCAAATTAAATTGATGTGGCCTAATGAAAGAAAACTTACGACACTGTTCCATTTTTAGACATATAACAAAGAATCCTAAAGTATTCGCAATCTTCTGTGCAGTTTTAAATAAAAGAACTTTAAACGTAAGGATTGTTTCTTTGATCTACAATAGTTCGTGGCATAATCTAGAAAACACGTACAGGTATTTCACGTTATTTAAATCATTTTGTTTTAAATATTCCAACATCTAATCACAAGACGTGGTGACGGCATACTCAAGTTTTGGGACAATACAATACTCATTTTTTGGGAGAATACAATACTCATTTTCACCTGAGCGAAGTGAGGAAAGTCGTGTAAAGTGCCTTTCCCAAGGGCACAAGATCGGTGGCATGTCAGGACTCGAACCCGGGACCTCTTGATTCCGAGTCGAGCACTCTGCCTCTACGCCACACGACCCCACGATTTAAATCATTTGACACGAACAGTCCAGACAAAAATAGTTAACACAACTCTGGCAATGTCCAAATGAACGATTGCACCATACTGTAAACAGTAGATCTAAAAGTATTTTTGACACATACATTTAAGTCTTGAATGAGTCAGCAAAGTTGTTTTTGTTGTACCCAAGGAGACCACACATCCGGATATGATCCAGTATGGATATGAGTTACAATAATAATAAATCTGTTAGGCGTTGTTTGCACTCAAAGCTAATTCGTGTTAATACTGGTTTTACCTATGAATGATCACACAGAAAGCTAACTACCATGTCGAATTCGGCATAACATTATTGAGGCCTAGCCTCCACCAGGCCTTTCTACAGGAATACGGATCGTAGAATTCGGCAAAAAAGAGATTAAAATTGGCCAAGGGAGTCCGGCCGCGAGGAGGTAGTTTCTTTCCCTCCGACCTAGCCTCCACCAGCCCTTTCTACGGGAATACGGATCGTAGAATTCGGCAAAAAAAGATAGTAGAATTGGCCAAGGGAGTCCGGCCGCGGGGAGGTAGTTTCTTTCCCTCCGAACTGCGCGGCCAGTCAAACCTACAAGGCGGCCAAACTCCCCCGGCAAATATTCTCCTATATATAGCCAGCGTAGTTGGTCTGGTAGAGTTACTAGAGACTATGTTTTGATAGTGTTTGGAGCGCTTCTAATGCGTCATAATGAGTATACTACTTCTCGTTTTACAGTAAATACCGGAAATTTCTGGTTCTACGCGACTGTGGGGATGAATAATAGAGGAGCTGCCCGTATCGTTCAGTCAGCCTGACCGCAAGTTATTGTTGTTGCCATGGCAGCGCATGCACACTCCCGTCATGCACCTGTTCACCATTCGCCTGGTGCGATGACGCGAAACCGGCTGGAACAGGTTATTTCGTGTTTCTTATCAATATGTCATACTAGTTATTGTGTTAGGTTATAATGTATGATTTTTTTATTAAAAAAACTTCATTCGACAAAAAAACAGAAATAAACAAAGACTACATTGAAAGAAGTGTGTGATTTTAGGTTTCTTCGTCATTTTCCCCCAGTGTCGTCTGATTTTGGAATAGTCCACTACGGCGGAAAGGGGTGTGCAGGATCACAGACACCTGCTACAAAAACTACCTAGAAGCAGAAGGGAGGGCGAAAATTTCAAGATTCGCTCAGGATTCTTTTTGACAAGTTTTTTTCAACTCCGCTTCTTCTGAAATCTACTCTAAGGACGCCGAAGGTAAGATTTTTAGTTTGTACACAATGCCCCCCCCCCAAAAAAAATGATTCAGTACACCAACATTGAGTATTGGGAATAGACAACTTTTCTTTCCCTCAAAAAGTCCCTCATCTCCACAAATTGTTGTCCCTTTTAAATTGTGTGTCTAAAAAATGGCCCATTTGGAGAGGGCAAGAAGGGGGGGGGCAATTTTCTCTCCTCAAAACGTTATACGAGTATTGTATATTTACCTGAACCTTTTTGTGCAACGTTTTCGTGGAACAATGTGACCCAAGAATCGGTCTTTCCTGTTCAACACAAACTTGTGTACTAGCCTGGTTGCCAGACCCATATAACACACTGGACACATATTCACTGAGATACTTTGTGTCCAGTGTGCTATGTGTCTGGCACCCAGGCTAAGTGTGTACAGTACAGGAAGGGAAAGCCGCATTTCCTCTGATGTTCCGAACCAAAACAGGTACACCGTATTCACCTGAGTTTTGACGTGTAACACGAAACTGCGCCTTCGCGGCCGTATTCAAATGAATGGCCCGAGGAAGACAGCTACCAGAGATCCCAGGTATTTCACCTGACTAACTTCCACCGTGCCAGTTCGCTGTAGGGTGCGGTGTGCCGCGAACATTCTACGGCGTTTGGATAACCCTTTTACCGGGAACTTCACGGTACAGGACGCGGACATCTGGACTGCCTCACCGCGCCGGAATGCTCTGATTCTCGCTGCTCGAGCTTTTAGGGGTCGGAGGTCGTGTGGAAGAACCTGTTCCTTATTTTGGTGTCATCCCCAGACACAAGCGGTTGGTTGGAACGTACCCTGCACTGCCAGTGGCGTTCGAAAAGCCTCTGTTCTTAGAAACCGTGGACAGATCAGTTCGCCGTATTGGGACTTCTCTTTCTTTTTCTCATATCCTTACCACCCGTGTATCCTGTGGTGAAGTTCTTGTTCAATATGCGTGTAGGGTTGTTGGAAGCGACGGGGATACCGTGTCAGCGCGGGTGAGTGATGTCTGTGTGTGGGGAGAGGCACACACCCACACACCGCTTTACTGGTGCATGTCCTACTGAGAATATATATACTACCTTTACCTGCCTTTTGCAAATAAACACTGCAGGACCTGCGTAAACACACAGGTGAATTGTAGGGATCTTCAATATGGGCAGCGGTGGAAGCAAGAAGAAACAGGACTCGAATCATTTGATAAAGTCGTGTGCGGACCACTCCGGCGGCGTGAACTGTTTGTCGCTTTCTCGGGACGGGTCGCTACTGATCACCGGGTCGGAGGATCGCACGGCCCGGCTTTGGAGCACGCGGTCGCACGAGTGCGTCGGGGTCCTGACGGGACATGCCGACTACATCACCAGCGTCAGCTTCGTCGACAACTACGCTGTGACGTCCAGCGCAGACAAGACCATACGGAAGTGGGACCTGAACTCTTGCGACTGTGTCCTCGTCTTCACCGGTCACTCCTCTCCAGTCAACAGAGTCACTGCAGGCAAGCTTACACAACTATTACCGAATCTTCCAGAAAATTTATATATGTGTCACCTACTAACTTCCTATTAGATATATTATATCTAAATATATCACACTAACGCTAATCCTAAGGTATTAAGATGTTTACATAACTAGATCATATTGTAAGGTTGTGTTTTGAGACAGGGCGGGGAAGTGTGTATAACGTGCGGTGTAAATGGATGTTTTCCAGCGGGAGGCTTGCTGTTCACCAGCTCGTACGACCGCACGGCGCGGTGCTGGCAGTTCGACTCCGGGGAGTGCGTGCAGGTGTTCCTCGGGCACAAGCGCGGCATCACCCCGATCATTTTCGTCGCGCCCGACGGTGACAACTCGCCCAAGGCACAACACGACACAGTGGACGCCTCCAAAGACCTGGTCATCACGGGCTCACTAGACAGCACGGCTAAAGCATGGAGTTTGAACGGCAAGTGCAAAACGACATTCAAGGGACACAAAATGGCCATCCTGTCCATGGCGGTAGACCGGCAGGGCAAGACTCTGTTTACCGGCTCGCATGACGCCAATGTTATGGCTTGGACGATCGACACAGGCGAGGCGCTACGCACGTTCGAGGGCCACCAGGGAGGCATCATCTGTATCGAGGTATGTGAGGCCCAAACTCCCCTATGATAGCCTTGTAATGGACAGGATTTCTCCTTTGTTCCGTGGATAGGCACTGTTTATATCTCCAAGTGATATGGCTGGAGGAATTGTGTACACAGACACGCTTGAGTCTTCTACAATGTACGGGAGATGTCCCTTCCCTTACCGTGTTCTCAACCCAAACAATACAATGTCAACCTTGCCGTGTTGTTCCATTGCTTCACGGTCGGTTGTCATGAGTTTGTGGGCAACACATCTGGTCATATAAACAGTTTAGAGTTCACATGTCGGGTACAAGTGCTTTGATATGATAGCATTTTAAGGCAGCAGTGTAGGTTGACATGTACGGCCCCTTCTTTCACTGAGTCGCGGAATTTTCTGTATCTGTATCTGTATCTGTATCTGTATAGCCGGTATAACCGCCTTTCGGCGTAACACACCAGCTTCGCAGGCACGCGGCGCGGCGGCAGCTGGCTATATTACACCGATCGACTTGTTACACCTAACCCTTGAACTTCTAGCTCTAGACATTGTTTAAAGCTATCTATTGACAGTGCCCCTACTGTACTTGGTGACAGTGAGTTCCACTCTGCGATAGTTCCCTAAACATTTCTGTGAATCAGATAAAATGTCACCTGGTCGGTGGACCAAAATACCTTTGAAATGAGGAAACCCAAGAGTCACGATTCTTTCTTTGTTGGTCTTTGCTCACATGTTGGCACGTTGACAACAGAACAGCAGTTTGGTGGGAAACTGCACTTAAAATAGCATTTTATTGAAGAAGTTGCTCGCTGTTACAGTTGGCCTTGGTCTCAACATGGAGTTTAATACAACTCCGATCTTTTAACTCCATGGTCTCATCAAGGACGTTCTACAAGTCTCAATGATTTGCCTCTTACAATTTCGTCAGAATAGCGATCTTAGAACTGTACGTATCAACTCGGTGTATTTATGTGTCGCTATAGGATTCAGACACTCTTTGTCCAGAGTGCCTGGGGCCACGAGAAAGTATAGTGGTGTTGTCTTCTGATCGCCCGCATGCCTTATAATCATTGGCCGCGACGGCAGGCAGGGCTGTTGTGTTGACTCGTACCGGGGTACTATCGTCACCTGTTGAGGTGTTGTGAAATACCTAGGGGGCCGTGGATGACAGAAAAATGTGTGTCCCCTGTGGCTTTTTACAGATTGTTGTGCTGTTGAAAACATGCATCAAGTCCTTTTTTAAAGTAAAAAAAAATGAGTTACGAAATCATAACACAAACGACAACCTACCTAGGGGTCCGTGGATGATAGAAAAATGTGTTTCCCCTTTGGCTTTCACAGGTTGTTGTGCTCATGCAAACATGTATATGAACCACGTCCTTTTTTCGTCAATAAAAAAAGGACAGGAGTTACGAAATAATAATAACACAAACGACAACCGGGGCGAAATACCTAGGGGGCCGAGGATGACAGAAAAACGTGTTTCCCTTGTGGCTCCTGTAACAGGTTGCTGATGCGAACATGAAACACGTCCTTTTTTTTTCAATAAAAAATGATAGGAGTTAGGAAATCATAACAAAAACGACAACCTAGGTGAAATACCTAGGGGGTCGTGGATGACAGAAAAAACGTGTTTCCCCTGTGGCTTTTGCAGGTTGTTGCGCTCATGCAAACATGAAGCACATCTTTTTTTTTTAATAAAAAAGTATAGAAGTTACGAAATCATAACAAAACGACAACCTAGGTGAAAAAAAAACCTAGGGGGCCGTGAATGACAGAAAAAGCGTGTTTCTCATGTGGATCTAACAGGTTAATGATGCAAATATGAAAAACGTCCTTTTTTCTATGAAAAAGGATAGGAGTTACGAAATCATAACACAAACGACAACCTAGGTGGAATACCTAGGGGGCCGTGGATGACAGAAAAACGTATTTCCCCTGTGGCTCCTGTAACAGGTTGCTGATGCAAACATGAAACAGGTCCTTTTTTTCAATAAAAAAAAAGGATAGGAGTTACGACATCATAACACAACCGACAACTTAGGTGAAATACCTAGGGGTCCGTGGATGACAGAAAACTGTGTTTCCCCTGTGGCTTCTACAAGTTGTGCTCATGCTAACATGAAGTACGTCATTTTTTTTTCAATAAAAAGGATGGAAGTTACGAAATCATAACACAAACGACAACCTAACTGAAATACCTAGGGGGCCGTGGATGACAGAAAAACGTGTTTCCCTTGCGGCTTTTGGAAATAGGAGTTACGAAATTCTAACACAAACGACAACAAACAATGATGAGCAATACGTACTCTTTAGTTTGAAAAGGCGGAATTTTTCTCGGTAATTTTGAGATTTCCTCTTGTATGACTCATTTTTCGGACGACACGAATTTGGATTCCTACAGGAAATGCATGTGTTTTTGGCGGGCCGGACAGCGCATACATTCTGAGAAAAATAACATTGTTAGTAACATTACATCACAATCACTTTAAATGGTCGAACAAAAGACTAAATCGCTCACTTAATGTACATGTTCTTGATACAAGCGAGAAAATAACAACATATTCTATGACATGTCTTGATATAATGGTGTACTTTGGATGAGAAATGATGGCGTAAATTGAGCAAAAGTTTTGTTCTTTTGTTTGTGAAAGACTGATCGTTTCTCGCTGACACATGATATATAGGGTTCCATTAGGCTAATAAACGTCCAAAGAGCCGAGAAATTACCTGCCGAACACAATAGAGGCACACGATTATGTTATAAAATATGCAGGAGGATCGCTTTTGAGTGAGGTGGTCCGACATTGTGTGGTGCCAAGGACGGAGGGTTGTTACAATTGCTCGTTTACATCCTGAGTGTTGTTCGCGTGGAGAGGCCGTGTACATATACGTCATAGGACTTCCACTCAATAACACATTCGTATTGACGGAATAATATTGCTGGAAACTAAACGGAAAGGGGAGGAGGCAAAAATAAGAAAAATTAAAAAACATGGTGGGTTAACCCACCATGTTTTTTCAAGAATTGTCATAATTACTGTCATCATAAGTTTGTAATAATTAACTTAAAGCGACTTTATGTAAGATTTTTATTATTTTAAACATCGTTGTTTTACACATTTTCTTGCACTCTAACCCTACCTGGGTTCATAATGACATTTGTTGATCATGAGTACAGTAACTAAATGATCAACGTAAGGAAATTTCAATGATTTGTATTTGCAGTTTTAGCGCAAAAATCTTACATAATATCGCTTTAAACCAAGGACACTGTTAGGTTTTATAAAACTATAAACCCGATGTGTTTATGAAGACATATACAGACCACGTTATGGTTAGAAACGGTAGGTCCCTAGTTTTTACCTCGTCCCAAACTTGAAACCGAATCGCCCGTCATTCCACGAGAGATGTCACGGCTCCCGCCCTCCACAAATTCGAACCACTTGCCCGTGCCAAAATAGGGGCTGTGCCGTGTTCCACTCTCCACAGAAAGGGTCATTTCCACACTATCAATATTTTGGCTACACGAAGTTAGTTTGACGAGAGTGGCATTCGTTTGGGGGTAAGAGGGGGGGGGGGGTACTTGTATGTAGCAAACAGCTATTAAAAACAATTGCTGTATTCCTATAGATATACCGTACGTGCTATTCAATTGCGTACCAAGCAATGGCATAAGCATGTTTTTGGATGTAGAACGTTTTGGAATACAACACAATCTTTTAGTGCTCGTACAAAGTGTGCTATGGCAGTTTTAGAATAAAGAACTTTTTGGAATACATCAAATACACCAAGGGTCTACTATTATAATCGTCCTAACAAGGGTTTTCCATGTACCTACTCTCCAGTATAATTTAGCTCTTACTTCCCTGCGAAAATAACCTGCTAAAACATTTCTTATACCTCATTTAACTGAGAAACAAGGCAAAGTTGGTCCCTTGAGCAAGGAAAACCAGGGAAGACGTCTTAATTGTTGCATTAATGACATCTTTGAGAAGTTAAAAGATTTAGATAAGCTAGCATTCTGTTTTTAAATTGTTTGCGAGCAGCGAGCACTGGAAATAACTCAAAAATCCCCCCCAATGCACCTGTCGGTCGAACAACCTGTTACCAATAACGTGCTACATATTTCTAGGTCATATTGTGGAGTGCGAAAATTCCCAGCATTCCTGTGTATTATCGATGGAGGTGGACAGTGGTTGGACGGGCCGAGATAGCCTCGAAATACCAGGCGTTTAAAGGGATGTAAACATCTTCTAAATGTTGACATGAACTCCCAAGGGAAGCAGTAAGAATCTGATATTTCTCTTGGAATCTTTAAAAAATACGCAATTTTGTTGGAAACTGAAAAAACAGAACTAGAAAGGTAACATTTGCAAAGCAAATGCATAATGTTCGCATATGGTCTTCTCTGTTAATTCTTACTCAAACACATTCACATATATGGTCATACAGGAGACTAAATCCCTCCTGCTGTAAAATTGCAACATGATGTAACCCAACACCAGTTGCCATGGTTACAGACGTCTGGTTCAGGTCATTATTGGTTTGGAGAAGAAGAAGAGGAAATAGAGCAAAAACAATATGTTTTCCTTCGGTAAACAAAATTATGCAGTTGTAACTCTCAAATGCTTTCTTTTTGAAGCCCGGTCTACTATAAAGGACTATGACTGTTAAAAGGTCACATGTACAACGTGCCACCATTAGGGATTGTTCATGGATTTCACAAGCATGAAAATGGTGGATTACGGGAAAATCATGTTTCTTTTCTTCGCTCGACCTGGGAACGTTATGTGGGTCACTTGAGGCGTCAACAAGTCTACGGAGTTGTTCTCTAGCTCTGTGGTCATCACAAACAAGAGAGAGGGGGGAGGGACAGAGAGAGACAGAGACAGAGAGAGACAGACAGATACAGAGACAGACAGAGAGAGACAGAGAGAGACAGACAGAAAGAAAGAGAGACACACACAGGCAGATAGATACAGAGAGAGACAGAGACAGACAGAGAGAAGAAGAGA